GGGGGAGCGGGAGGGAGCGGGGTGTAACATTTGCTGAATGCTCTGTGCAAAAATGACTAGAAATGTAGACCAAGCCTAAAGTAGCACTTCCTGACCTTTCTCACGTCACGGTGCACCCAGAACACTGCCATGTTTGTTCAGCACCCTGAGGTTAACAGATGAAGTTGCTCTAAGTTGGAAGCAGTAAGCCTGGTGCTGTCCACTGTCCCAGGCCCTGCTCAGCTCCTGTGAACTATAGGGATTGGAATATTGGCACAACTGCAGCTCACTGCTTTGACATATCAGTTGGGAAATTCTGTCCCAATGACCTATAAGCCATATTTATACTGAAGAGCTAGGTTTATTTTGTGTTATCTTTGAGGAAATATACAAGTACCAGCATCAAATAATAGGATAAGGGAATTCTTGTCAAAGCATCATAGACACCACACCATTTGGCCAGTAGGTGCTGTATAGTTTTAACTGTAGTTTTCCTGCCTTGTGGCTGGTAGTAAATTGAGTGACCTTAAGAGATTCAGGCCTAACATTTCCAATCTGAACAAACAGGCACTTAATTTTCAGTTCTAACCCTGTGACACCTTAGGGTTCCCCAGAATGTGATTTAGAAAATCATGGCCTTGATGATAAACTGTTGAGATGTCTACATTGCACCCCTTTTCAGTCAAGTGTCATTTCTCATAACAGACAAAATAATTGTGACTTATCATATATATATATGTGACTTATCACATATATATATATATTAGTTAGTTCTAGTATGTCTACCATGTGATTTGGCTTTTCTTATTTTAAAAACCCCTAAGTGGGACATTTGTTGTAGATGCCCTTCTATTCAGTATCATGGATTTGTTTTACTTTGTGGCTGCTGAGTGACATTGAGTTGCTAGATGCCAGAGCAGGCTGCTTGGCTCTGTTTTACCCCTTAGTCTGGCAGCCAACTCCTAAATTATGTCCTGTAGCCTCTGCAGGGATATAGGGAAGAAAAGGTAGATGAATCGACCTAAATTCCTTTTGAGGCCTGGGAGAAAATATTCCAAGCACACTTCCTGCAGTGTCATCATTTTTGTATTTGAAGAATGCCACGCTTTGAGGGGAGTGGGACAGTGCAGTGAAGAAGACGTGTTCCGCTAGGTCTACTGGGTATTGTAGACATAGACTAGCTAGGCTGAAGGAGAAGAGTTGTAGGAGTATAGTGATTGCAGAACTGACCATATGAACACTTGTACATTTTACTTATTTTCTTAAAGCTATTAAGTATTTCTCCCTTTTAAGTATGTTTTTAAAATGGTACAATTTCTCCAACCATGTTCTGTGTTTCACCTCTGACGTTTTCTCATCTAGCTGATAAAATGTCTTTTCTTTTCATTTTACCCTATATAGTCAGTATTCACTAGAATGGCGGTTATGAAAGCTTTGAATAAGATAAACGAAGAGGATTTCCGCAAGTAAGTAGAAACATGGAAACGAGGAAGCATCATGGAACTTTAGAAGAAAGGGATTGGTAGCGAGAGTTTGGGTTATTTGTCTTTAAGACAAGACTGGAGGTATTTCAGCGAGCAGGATTGTGCCTTAGTCATCATTCTATCCCCAATCCCTGGCTCAGTACTTGGCATGCATTGGTGTTCAATACATGTTTGTCAAATAAATTTGAATTTAAGAGTCAAGTCCAACTTCTTCATCTTATAGAAGAGGATATAGCAATTCATAGAGGGAATCGACTTGCTTATTATTTCAACTGGGTAACAGAGTAGGAATTTAGAGCCAGGTTTCCTGACTCCCCAGTCCAAGCCCTGCATTTTGTAGTATTATCCACCTCCAGAAAAGGAAGAAAATATGCTGAAATGCAATAAGCCTTATGTTTCAATTCTCAGTGTGTTTATTTTATTTAATAATATGTTATAGTTTATCCTTCTAGGAGATCCTTGAATAAATTTCAGACAATGAAGTTATGAAGAAGGTTTCCTATATTTTACTGACTAAAAATGAGTCTCACAATGAAAATATTTTTATTAAATTTTCTAAAGTAAGGACAGTTACTCTCTATCAGCAATAATTCTTGAGTTCCTACGTGATTTCTTTGTTGAGACATCTTGGGAAACTGTATGACATTTTCAAGACAAACATTTTGTGTTAAGTCCACATCTAGTCACTTACAGGGATACTCCAGTTCATGGCTTTGGAGGTTCCCAGGTGGTGGGCAGAGATTAAAGCCATACGCTGCTCTTCCCTGTCTGTTCTCCGGTGAAGTTTCTTGCTAAAAGGGCAGGAAAAAGAGTGGACATTCCACTTTTTCTGACTCTTTGGTCTGATTCCAAAGGTCTCTGTTGGAATGAGAAGGAAAAAAAAAAGTACCCTCCCCACAGGTGTGACCAATCTCATTGCACACCGGCTTGACCCAAATGCTTGAGGATTTTTGTAAGCCAGCAGCAAGTGTTCAGAGGTAGCAAAATGGCTAAAGAATCTGGAGAGGCTTCTACTTCATATATACGGAATTTTCTCCCAAATTTCAAGGCCATTGGAATTATCACCTGGGAGCATGATGCCTCCTGGGCGTGAAAGGCAGTAGTAAACCAGAGCCTGACCTCCTCGGTGACCCTCTCCTGGAGGCTAAAAGACCCGTATGGATCCTAAACTGAAAGTCAGGGAGAGGCTGAGTCCTTGAGAGACTCAGGCCCTGTGTGTCTGGAACAACGATGACTCATTGTCATGGTTCATTATCATGTCCGGAATATCGTAGCTATAAAATTTATTTTGTTTTGCAGGCAGTTTCCTTGTCCTCCAAACTCACCCAAGGCTGTATGCTCTGTTCTTGAAATGGAATGTGCTCATGGTGCTGTCTTTGTGGCTGGTAATATTTTTTTGTCTAGAATACACTTACACTGCCAACCTGCTCACCTTTCTGAAAAACTCAACCGACTCCTCCTCTCTTTCCTCCTTCTTGTTATTAGATTCTGAGTGGTTAACTCTTTGAGAACTAGAACTGATAGTCAAGCTTATTTTAGGTTGTATAGGTATTCTTAAGGTCACTCGGGAGATTTGTTATTTAGAATGCCATGCCAAAAGGAAATGACACTTCCCAGGTCGTAATAGCTTTCATCAGAGATGGCCGAGTGGAAATATGAGTAGATGGCGAGACCCAAAACTGGCCAGGAGAAACACAGCCGTGGAGAGGATTTTTTTTTTGTAACATGAACACAAACTTGCAAAAATAATTTTATTATCTGCAAAATGACTAAACACTTGGCTTCTGCCTGAAAAGAAATTGTTGCGTTGACTTTCCCAAGGGTAATCTAGCAGACAGTTTTTGTTTTGAAAGCTACAGCTGTTTTGTAGTAATAGCTGAAATGAAATTGATATTTAGTTTTGACTATTGAATGAAATGAGGTAATGAAAGCTCCCTTCCTTAGGGGAGCTTTATTCATAAACCAATGAGTCATATTCTGTTAGGGTGGTTTTTTTTTTCAAGTATAAAAACTTCAAAATTTCCTGTATTTGAATTCTTTGGAATATATTATCACCAATGACTATTACATTGAAAGTGTTATTAATCATCTGTAAAAGCAATAGTTGTTCTCTTTAAAAAAAAAAATCCTTGGTGAGTTCTGTAATAATATAACCTGTTTTGTCAACCAGTCAGATTAATAAATATATTGAGCATTCCTTTAGAACTCATTTAATGATTCATATTATGTTGTTAGCTATCTCTTCTATTGTTACCTTAAATATTATCACTTAATTTTCTACCTGTCTATATGTTGGCTCCCCAAATTAGATTGTAAGTTAATTGAAGGCTAAGCCTTGTTTTATTTATTTATTTATTTATTTATTTATTTTTATTATTATTTGCTAAGCCTTGTTTTATATCATAGGGCAGTGATGGCGAACCTATGACACGCGAACTCATTTTTTTGGTTAATTTTTCTTTGTTAAATGGCATTTAAATATATAAAATAAATATCAAAAATATAAGTCTTTGTTTTACTATGGTTGCAAATATCAAAAAATTTCTATATGTGACACGGCACCAGAGTTAAGTTAGGGTTTTTCAAAATGCTGACACGCCGAGCTCAAAAGGTTCGCCATCACTGTCATAGGGTATTGGTATGCAATACATAGTTGTTGCTTTTTTGTTCTTATTCCATTGTGTTAATCACATCATTCCATCAAGCCTACCTTGTATTTCTCTGGCAGGGAGATATAATAAATACTCCAGGAATCTGCCACAAACTCCTTGGATAATTGATGGAGAAAGGAAGCTGGAATCTTCAGTGGAAGAATTAATTTCAGATCATCTTTTGACAGTATTCAAAGCAGAGAGTAAGTGTTACATTACTCACATTTTAAATACATTGTCATTCATGAACAGACTTTTTGGAGGTGGCAGGAAAGATTTCTACGTTTTTAAAATCACCACCAAGTCTGGGCCCCTGGCCTGGCAGCTTCCCATAAACAGGCACGGCCATGGCTGAGCTCCCCTGACCGGGGCTGGATTTGGGCCAAGGTGCCAAGGATTTCTTTCCCTTTTCAAAATGACTGCTCTTTCCTGGGAAAATTCAAAACAATCGAAACTACTTTAAATGAATGCACTGACGCGCTGGCCTTGGGACACCTCAGCTTTGACCTCTTTGGTGGCATTTGAGGAAATTAAAATACAGCTTGCACAGTCAGCGCTTGACACATGCCTGGCTTCTGTCACAGTCACTAAAATGTCCTGGGAAAAAGCTGAAGCCCAGAGAAAAGAAACCAACCGCTACCATTTTACGAAGACTTAATGGGAGTCGTGCTGCGTTTTAACTCCATAGGCATTAATGAGCCCAGGTTTGGGGGATGAGTCAGATCCGGGCAGGTTTAGTTGTCTTTGTCTTGATAGGCCTGTTAGGCCAAAGGCAGCATAAAGCCTCATGATTTCACCGAGGAGTAGACTAGCGGAAAGGGGCTGAGATTTCAACCACAGGAAATCATGTCCGTCAGGAAAAACTCTGGGCAGGACGTCAATCACTCTTGAAGTGGGTTTCCTGAAATAATTAGAACACCTTTTTTGAGGAATCAACTCAACGTCCATCCTTCCCTCTGAAACACCTTAAAACAAGCTTGCTGTAGGAATGGCAAGCAGTGGCTGAGATGACATATGGCTGTCCCTTCCCGCTCTCTGCTTGTAAAGAGAAGCACTTCAAACCCCACCCCGCTTATAATTTGTTGCCTATTATATAGAGCAGCCCTCTTTGTAAGGGCCTTTTAAGAATTGTTTAACTGAGTGAAGAAGAAAGTAAGCTAGCAAACTAGTATTTTCCAGAATCCTAGCAGTAATGACTCCGGGTTACTGCCATGAGCTTTAATCTACTGAATCTACTATTCGCACATTAGCTGTCTTATAAAACTTATCCAAGTCGTGGAGAAGTGAAAATACAGCTTTGGCACAAGAAGTCTCTTTCAAACTTTTTTGTGGCCACCTCACTCCTTTTCTGTAAGATTCAAGAAACATTCAATTCTGATTATGTGGGTCCCCAGGAAGCCCCCTCTGTGACCAGGGCTGCCGGGGGCTCTGACCCAGCGGTGTGTTTCACCCTTGCAGTCTTTCATGAAGGCACTCCATTGTCATTTTCTATTTGAGGGGGAAAATCTGTCCCCAAGCTGGAAATAAGTAAAACTGTATGTGTAACATATATGGTTGTGTGTGCTGAGGAAGTTTATTGAGAGCCACTTAAGAAAAAGCGTATTTCTGGAGGCCACTGTGCTCATGGGCTTCTTGTCATGATAAGACCTTGTTGTTTGAAAGGCCTGAGTAATAGCATCCATTTTTCTAAACCCCTGCTTCTCAGATAAATTACTTGTTATTTCTGGGGTTCACCTCTGACAACTCAGGGAAGATGGTTCTGACTGTGAGACCTCCACGTTTTACAGCTCGATGAAAATAAGCCGGTGTTGCACGAAGCAGCCTAGCTACTTCAGAAAGGTTCCTTCCCCTAAGTGGGAGATACAAACTTGTCTCTCAGTCACTTCATGTTATGCACTTTCGAATTCCCTAGGTGATGAGTAATAAACTTGAACACTCTCAAAATCAAAGAAAAATTTTCCCCTAACACACTTACTCCATCGCTCAGTGAGTAAGTGTTTGTCATGGCGGCTCCCTGCTGAAAACTGGTCAATGACTGAGCTACAGGATCAAGTCCCCACCACTTCACTTGACATCCTAATGTTATCAGCTGGTCTCTGCCCCGTTGTCTGCTCCTGGGTCTGAGGCCACTGCAGACCAGCTGAACCACATACATAGTTCCTGATCCTTCTTACCCTAGGCTTTCTATTTGTTTTTGAAACATCTGTTTCTTTGAGCAGAAGAATCAAAGCACTTATAGGGTTTAGAAAATGCAACTAAGTTTTAAACAATGTGTTTCCCAGAATGGCAGTGGCTCCTTCCCCCCCCCTTTTTTTTTATCAGCTATTATTCATAATTGCCTATGAATAAAGTTTTGAAGTTTGCCCCCAAAAGTGTTTTTCCATGTGGGATCCAAATTTCTAACATTTTCCTAAAATATACAGTAAATACCCCTTCTCCCTCTGTCTGGAAGGATTATGATGTTTCTCTGGACTTCTCCAGAGCCTCGCTTTCTGCCCCTCTTTCTTGTTGATGTGCTGGAATTTGTGAGAAGTTAGATAGACTGATTTATGAGTTTGAGATTTCTGGTCTGATTTAGCAGTCACTGTTGCTGGTGTGGCTCAGTCACTGTGGATTCCTGCTTCCCTGACATTATGGCTAGTTTGGAGATGGAGGTGAACAGGTATAAGACAAATCATAGCCATAAGGAGTCGGTATTTTTCAGCTTCCCAGATGCCATTTTAACTCTCCATTTAGCTCTCCATCCCCAGTTAGTGCTACTCTTGAGTGTGTTGACTAACTGAAAGCTACTAATGTTGCTTCATGTGTATTAACAGCTTGACAATGGAGTGGAAGCATGGAATGGATGGTTCTTTGGGACTTACTGGCCCATGGAATCCCACTCCCTGCCTGACCTAGATTTTCTACTGGCCAGTCCTATGGAATAATGCAGCACAGCCTACCCAGACTGATAAGCCTCACTCACAGCTTGAATTCTAGACCTGCCTTGGATAGCTAGTGCTTAGCTAGCCAGTCCTTGGTTGCTTCTCTCTGTGAGAGCCACAGCTTTGGGCCCTGAGCATAGAGAGGAGCCCACTCTGCCATGGCAGTGCCTGACACCCTACAGCTCGGAGCCCATGTTTCCAGCAGGGGTTGGCCCTGGCTTGCTAACGTGATTTTTTAAAGATGAAGGAAGGGTGAAATCCTGCTTTCTTCACAGCTAACCATACTGGAAAGGAGGGCTAATCTTGAGTGTAGTTTTCATAGGACTTTAAAGCTTTTAGCCTTCCCTTTTTAAAAATCTACATGAGAACTTTGCATTTAGAATCTTCCCTGGGAAGATTTAACAATGGCTGTTAAAAAGGAATTCACCCTCCTCCCACCTTCCCATCTGCTCATCCCATAGTCTTGTTCTCCCTTATCTCGTGCTTTCCAGAGTGGCTGGCCTACCGAGGAATAAATAAAAATCTCATCGCTCTCGCTGCACTGTGCTCTCAGTGCAGGAATGCTCCCGTACTTCTCCTGCCCCAGCCCTCCACTATTTGATGGTCCATATCCCTGCATAAACAGTAAGCTCTGGGAGGACAAGAGCTATGTCCGCCTTGTGTGCCTTTGTCTTCCATCATCTCGCACAGTGCCTTGCACACACAGCCTGTACATATTTGTTCCCGAATGAAAGAATCAGGGTGTGAGCTCTATGTTCAGAGACCTTAAACTCTACCACTCTGATGATTGACCAGGCTTTCAAAAACATTCCAGCCTTTCCCAGTCTTTGGTCCAAGACTCGTCTTGCTTTCCGTGGGCACAAGTCTGAGCATTTTTGGCTGTCTTCGCGGTGGTGCAGTATGGACAATGGTTAAGAAACTCTGGAGCCAGACTACCTGGTTCAAATCTTGACCATACCACTTATCCGTGATGTGATCTTAGATAAGTTACTTATCCTCTCTCTGTATCACCTGCCTTATAAATAAAATGGAGATAATGTCAGTGTCTATCTCATAATGTTAACCTATCTCATAGTGTTAACACATATGAAACGTTTAGAATAATGCCTCTCATGTTAATGTGGGCTGTGGTGATGATGATGAAATCATTAGTCAGTTCTATTTCTAAAAAAGCTGTCATGTGACACTTCTCCCCTCACTTTTTTTTTAAAACCACTTCCCATTTCAATATTTGCAGCTTTTAGTCTGTGATGACCCATCGATCTTAAAATGAACGCTAGTTTTGTCACAGTTCCAGCTTAGATTTGCTTATATAATGAATTTGCGTTAGAGTTAAATATTTCCTCCCTCCTTTCCCTTTCATAGAGTTTAATTATCAAATAAATGTTTTTGTTTTGTTTTAAGGAAAAGAAGAAAGTAGATGATAGACCTTTCACCATAAGTTGT